CCCACCCCGCCACCAGCGCCAGCAGCAGTAACACCAGCAGCAGTAACAGCAGCAGCAGCAGCAGCAGCAGCAGTAGCAGCAGCAGCAGCTGTTTGTTAGCAGGGTAAACTGTGACTGAAGGATTCCTCTGGGTCTGAGGTTCTGATTGGACAAACAGACTAACTGATCAGACTTGTGTGAAGTCCGCATCAAAAAACTAAGTCAGCACTTCTGAACTTTTTCAGTCAGACCGACTGGAGCGCACACTGACCAATGGGAACACGGCCCCGTTAGCATGAGCGTACGGTGGCACACGGTGTTTCCATGGAAACCGATGGAGGGACAAAGGCAGATGCATGTTTTCTTGGCGGTTTTCGTGGCTGTCACTGCTGACAGATCACAACATGAAGATGGAGCTGCTCTGTTTTCTCCCATCATTCTCAGGTCTTTCTTTCTGTTTGCACACCAGTGTTTGGCCTTTACTGCCCTATTTAGATCTGTCCATCTCACACTCTCTGGCCTGACCTCCCCCCCCCCCACCGACCCCCCCTCTCTTTGTGAAGACTGAAGGTAAAGACCACAGCCTGGTGGTCTGTGTCTGGTGCTGAGACGCTGTTCTCTCCAAGAACCTAATTATGAAGTCGTAACATCACCGTCTTATTATCAAAGACCACCAGTAATTAGCAGTGGTACAACCTGAACAACTGTTAGCAGCAGAGGTCCTTATCTTGGTTTCACACCACAGACCGCCGTCAGCCAAACGTCAGCTCCTCACTCACATTCCACGTGGTGCCGTTCACAGACACTAATCCTGTCTTTGCCCTCAACTCCACACAATCAGTGTTTTCTTCTGACCTTGATTAAACCCCACTTCCTTCTTCTCTTCAAAGACTGAGTGGTCATTCTCAGCAGAACGCACCCTCCACCTTTCCTGTCAGAGCAGGGACGTTTCTGACCGTTTCACCTCACAGTGTTTTTACACACGGCCAAAGTTACTGTTTTATTATTAGTTTTAAAATTGTACAAACTTTTACATTTTCATATCTTCTCTGCTGCTTCCTGCATTTTTAGTTCCCTTCATTACCATTCTGATCCAGACGACATCTGCTGCAGCCTCTGACATCAATCAAAAACATGTGAGACTAAATATTAAAAAAAAAGAAATTGAGACATTTATCTTTCCTGCTTTAAAAAAAATCAAGCATGATTGGAAAAGAAAATAACAACATAGAAAAATCAATGTTTCCTTTTTCTTCTACACACATTCTTAAAAAAAAAAAAAAAAAACTACCAGCATAAGATTGACAGGTGGAGAGAGCCACAGGAGAACAAAACCCTGAGAGGCAGCTTAAGAGAGACAGGAGTGTGACAACACACACACACACACACACACACACACACACACACACACACAGAGCAGAGGCATCAGTGTGTACATCCTCAGTGCTCGCTTGTAAAGTGAAGCAAAAAGAAATGTGGGAATCAGATTGAAGTGTCAGTCAGACGCTGACATACGGCTGTAAGACCCGCCTCCTCCAGACACATCACTTCCTTCACAGCCTACTGGAGTGAGGGACAGAGACAGGGACAGAGACAGGGACAGAGACAGGGACAGAGACAGGGACAGAGACAGAGACAGGGACAGGGACAGAGACAGAGACAGGGACAGGGACAGAGACAGAGACAGGGACAGGGACAGAGACAG